TTAATAACGTAGCATTTTCGAAGCATTTTCCCAAGATTATTTCTAATTGGCCCTGTCATAAAGTAGTCGCAAACTGCCTTAAAACAGTAATCAGTTTGAAGCCAGTTGAGCAAGCCTATGACAGGAAGCTGTTAATAATATGCTTCGATATTTACCTGTGAAATACGGAGCTGGACTACTTTTGTGAAAGAACTGAAAGTAAACGGCCTTTGTTATGCAGACCGATCAGTAGCAAAAAGCACCACACAGTTTACCAGAATTTGTAACAGACTTTGGTGTACCACCCTTTGGTTAATGAAATCAAACCTGTTTTAACATGTAGGTAAGTACCCTTCAGTGTCACTAAAGCACAGCTCGTGAGCTGTGGCGGGCTGGTGTACTGGGGCACTTGTCCTGGTGCTGGTGCCCACCCAGCAGCAAGACCGCCCGTAGCCTCCAGGAATGAGTGACCATCACCCAAAGGGAGCATCGGGGCGGCTCCTCCTGTTTCCGAGCTCCTGGCGCTGCTGCTCCAAGACCCTCCTCCTTACCCAGCCTCACTCAAGGGCCGCAGAGCCCGACCTGCTCCGGGCGAAGTGGATTTAGACCGGTTAGAGTTAAGATGGTATCATTAGCTGCGCACAGCGTGACTTCCCACTAATCCTCTCTGCAACTTACAACAAGTTTAAATGTCCATGCATGATGTTATTAACTGGCTTTAGTAAGTGCTTAAGACCTAGATCTCTTTTTAAAGTAATCTCTGAACAAGTTCTACTGTATCCACCCAACAAAGAGATTAATATTTCCAACAAATCTGATAGGCGGAAGATGCGCCCTGAGTCCCTAATGGGCAATAGGGGTAGAGGTGTTAGATGATTCAGCAAAGGATCCAGAGCAGAGTACGCTCACCAACCCCGGCTCCAGATTCACAAAACTTGCTCTCCCAGGAAAGGGGGGGTGGAGGGGGTGGGGTCCTTTAGGCTAGCAACTTTTCACTAGGTTAAAAAGAAATGGAGATGGGGCACAAAAATCTTTATCAATGATATTGATCATACTCAGAGAAGATGCCTGGGCAGAACTAGAGAAACTGAGTGCCAGCAAAAGAAAGCCTCTTAATCACAAATTGCCTTTTAGCTTGAGGAAGGGGCCCTGGGAAGGGGGTGGCCACCACGAGACGCCTGCCTCCAACAGACGCCCTGGCGTGACTAAATTTCGACGCCAATCCCATTCACAAGTCTAACTCATTGATTCCTAAGCAACCACAGACCCGAGCTAGCGCAGAGGCAGGACCGAGGGGACTAGTGAGGGGCCGAAGAGCGGACAAATTAAAAACACAGAACAGCACTCGCGGACGCAATTTAGCATGCCAGGCAGAGAGAGGCTGGCGGCCCCACTCGCGGGGTTCCCGGGCGCCCGCGCCCAGCAGTCGCCAAGCGGTGGAGCGCGGGCGCCGGAATTTGAGCTCTAGCAAACTTGGGAGGCCTCTCAACTCTCTACTCTGGCCGCAGCGCGCCCCCGGCCACCCCGCCGCGCACCAGCCGGGAGCGCGCGCCAGCCTCGGGAGCGCGCGCGCCGGCGCACCAACACCGGCAGCTCCAGCAGCTCTGGCCGCCGGTCTCCCGGGAAACACCAATCAGATGCCGGCTTTCAGGAAAGGGCCGCGAGCAGCCGCAGCTGCAGGAGGACTCCGGCTGTTGACCAGCGTCGGGAGGTGTCGTGCTGCCCCGCAGCTGACCAGCCGCCTTCGCCTCTGCCACTGCCTAGCCCAGCCATTTCTACAGCCAGTCACAGAGTCGGCTGCCTGCTCTGTGCACCGCCCACGCCGAGCACCTTGCAATGAGGCTGTTAAGCCTGGCTATTTTTAGATCTCAAGAATGCGTTGTGCCAGAGCTCGGCTAAAACCTAGTCAAACCACCAAACACAGTGATGTGCTTCTCTTTGAACAAATATGGCTCAAAATTCCATACTCCCCTAATAAAGTCGATTATCTTCACTTTTTAAAGTCCTATCCCCTGTGGTCTGACAGTTGCCTGCAAAGCAGAAAGCCACATGCCCCCACCTCAAAGAGGTCATCACCTTTCTAAGGAAGTGCACTAACTTTCGAGGCCCTGATTGAAGGCAGGCAGATATTCCTTAACAGCAATCATAACTTTATAGTTTACATTTCCATTCACTATCTTTAGAATTAATTCCACAATTAAGTTGAAAATTCCCAGAAGGAAATGGAGATTTCCCCCCGATTTCTGTACTAGGTTAACTTGTGGTATGATGCCAATGAACACAAAAACAGGATAACAAAACCATCCATTAAAATCTGGAAACGCTGAAGAACTACCTTACATGCCCCATCGCTGTAGGACCTGTTTAACTGCCCCAAGTACTTGTGTTAAAATAATTGACCAGTATTATATCTCTCCTTTTTCTCAGTAACTTCTAAAGAACACCTTGTCTCATGTTGCCAGTCTCACTCACCAACTTCCCCAGCATCCATCCAAATGCAACATATTGGAGTGTGTTTTATTTATTCTAACTAATTATGGAAAAGTTAAGTCAAAGAAAGACAGAGTGGGAAAAGAGTATCAATATTCTTAATCCATAATGCCATTTCTAGGAATGTAGATTCATAGAAAAAAATTAGATATACAATCTATATCTCTTTCATACATTTTCTAGCCACATTGGAAAATAAAACCTTTAATTTCATCTCTCTATTTTTAAAAAGTCAAAAATTTTCAATGTTAAACTGTCTTGAACTGTTTATATGTAGTCTATAAATAGGAAAAATGTTTGTGAACTTGAAATGTACTTATCTTTACTATTTAAATGGTTTCTTAATTTTCATCAAACTACACAAAATCGAATTAGAATTTCCTATTTTTCCAAATAAGAAAACCATTTTAATTTTAAAAATAAACACAGAGCACTAGTAGTAGAAATTGAGTGTGTAGGAAGATGTGAAGAAAAGCCACTTTGGAAAAAGAATTCATTTTGAAAGTAAATAATGCATTTATCTCATTACTATGCATATTAATGGTAACTTCACTAGGGGGCTGATATTGGTGAATATATTTATCCACATCCTGCAAGGATGTTGCAGAAGTT